AACCCCAAAACCCCTCCTCCAAAAGAAAGTAGTGAGATTAAATTATTAATATGTAAATAAAATGAGAAATCAAATTATGCCTTACAATCTAATTCGTATAATTCCAATAAACAGTCCATCACGATAACTCACTTTCCAATAGATTTTAAATCATTATATTACTGAATTTTGTTGCCTATAGATTCTCAGTCCTTTGCTTAGCTCTGATTTTGCTTCGAAGAGAAAAATGCTCTACCTTAATTTGATGCTTTACCTCTGCCTCTACTAACTGTTTTTTGAATAGGATCATTCTACTTTTATATTATAGAGGGCTAAATATCTATTACATTCAATCCACTCTTTTCAGTTTATGGTTTTTAACTTATTCCTTAAGCCTTTGCTAAGAATTTTTCTCTAAATGGATTCGGCTAAATGTTTTATTAGCCATCCTATAATTTATTTTCTCCTCCTTTATTACCTACTCCAAATATTTTAGGTTTTATTTCCCCTTCTTTGTTTTCTTCAACATGCTCCTAATCAATGATACTGTGTTTTTAGTTAGGTCCAGAATTAGAACCCTTTCTTTCTTCAGGATTTTAATCCTCTTGCTATGTTTCTGAAGTTTTATCACTACTATTTCCTAATCCACTCCCTTGATCAATATCTGGCTTATCATTCTCTGATGAATCTTCAGATTCTTTTTCCTTGCTTTTTTATTTATATATTTTTCCATCAACATCATACAATTTATTTGCTCCTAAAAGAAAAAAATTAAATTCTCTCAAAGATAATTGCTATAAATTATAAATCTGAATCTTAGAATCATTTCATTCTAATTTCCAATCAAAATTTACTCTAACTTACTTTATGTCTGAATACTTTCTTCATGCTATTCAATGAAATCAATAGGCAGCTTCATACTATAAATTGACTATCCTTTGATAAACATTTTTGGGCTATTTATTGTTTTGCCATTTTATTACTTAATTGTAACATTAAGCAATTTTAGATTTTAAAAGCCATCAGCAATTTCTACTATTCCAATCAAAATGTCGCCATTTTTTAAATTTACTACCTAAAAGTATATTTTATTATCATGACAGAGAAATAATTACGATTTATTAGTTAATCAGTAAATTTTTCATATTATTTATTGTGGGATTTGTCTTAATCTTATAATTAAGGAGCTTTTTTTGTTCAGGTGACAATATTTGTTGCTTCATTCTCAAAAGTAAATTATAATTATTAATAACTGTTAAATAATCCATAATTTAAGATTCATTCTGACTTACGGGGTTTTGGGGTTTTGGGGTTTTGGGG